CCCGTAGAATTATGGGTAAGGCGCCTTGAATGGAGGCCGACAGCAAAAAGTAGCTGAAACAAAAAACACACACACACACAAATAAAACAAAAAGAAACATAATAAAAACTATTCCCAATTGTTGCTAAACGTTTGAGCCGCATGTCGGTGATCTTAATTAAAGTTGATTACGATAATGCCTATTTAGTGTGGCCAATAAAAGTGCCATTAAACAAACGCCGCGGCGTTGCCAAACGTTCGAAAGTGAGAGTTGCCCATGCGCCTCAGATTTATCTATCTGTTTTATTAGCCAAGGGATCTCGGTTCAACGGTAAACGGTATGGTCAGTAGCTATGTTTGGAATTGTAAATATTTTGAATTGGGTTGAGTTATTATTTATAATGGGAAAGTGTGGAAGGAAGGATAAGGAGAGACAGAGAGAGGTTAGATGAACAATTAGAGATGTAGGGGAGGCGAGGAAGGGCGAGAATGAGAGAGACTGAGGATAGAGACTCCTCAATAAAGAGAGAGAGAGAGAGAGAGAGAGAGAGAGAGAGAGAGAGAGAGATGAGAAAGAGAAAGAGAAAGAGATAGAGATAGTATTATATATAGACTTACAGAAAGCGAAACTGAGATATAAAAAGGCAAAGATGACGAAAGGCATAGAAGAAGAGAGAAACTTAGATAAAGAGAGACTGAGATGGTCAGAGACTTACAGATATGGAGACAGAGAGATGAGGCGAGTTTGAGAGAAGGAGAGATTGAGAGTCTGAGGAAAAGAAACATAGATAAGGGCACATAGAAGCAAAGAAGGAAGGCAGGGAGACAAGATGAGGGAGAGAGAGAGAAAAAAAGAAGCTGAGAGTGGGAAGCCGAAGAGCAGACCCAGAGTAACTAAACTCAACTGAGTCAATATTTACTTGTAGTCTACTTTATACTTTTCTAAGTTCTATTCCATGCCTCAACTTTTACTTTAATCTCAATTTCTTTAGAGCGCATCTCAAGCTCTTAACTTTATATAGCCAAGCAATACATCAGCAGAAAACTAGTTATTGAAAGCCAGATATTGAGTGTTATTACATTAATTAGAGCTATTCATTTCTGACTAAAGAGATCCTTAATCAAACGGGAATTACAATGTTTAATGCAAAACTTTTGTACAATATTTACAAATGTTTTACACGAAAAGAACATTGCTCGCTCCTTTATTGTTTCGTTGTGTGTTTGTGCTCAAGTGCTAAAGTGCGCTTTGATTTGATTTGAGGGTAGCAGAGAGTGGGGGAGCGGAGGGGGGGGAGCTCTATATGAGTGGGTGGCCAAACACATACACAAAAGGAATTTTATCAGTGTGTGTGCGTGTGTGATTTATGGAATTTTATATGAGAAGCGCTCATAGTGAAAGGAGCACCTCTCTGTCCCACACTATCTATCTCCGTCTCGCTCTCTCACTCACTGTGTCTGATGTCTGCGTGTCGCTGAGTCCGTCAGGCTTTGCAATTTATCTGATGTTGAACATGCATAGTTTATTGCTGTTGTTGTTGTTGTTGTAAGCAAACAAACGCACGCCCACACTTCAAACGCACAAGAGGATTGAAGCACTGGCCCAGTCAACTCTTCCATGTCGATGACAAAAATCACAACAGCAACAACAACAAGAACGAAATGAGCAGGAAAATCGAATGAAAAATATGTATATATATATATGTATGTATATATATGTACATACATACATATATGCTAAAAATGTGTCCGCCTTTTGTCGACGGCGGCTCCTCCCACGCGAGCTGCCGCGATAAGCATCGCACTCGCTGCTCCACAATCAAGGACACCCAGCGAAAGGGAGGCGTGTGGTGCCATGGGCGGGTCTGCGGAGGACACTCATTGGCCGCAGCTGTTGGAGGGCGCGATCGCTTATCAGCGTCGCATATTAAATATTGAACATCATTTGACTAATTGACGCCAACAGCAAGTGGAGAGTCGCAATGCCCAGATGTATGTGTGTGTGTGTGTGTGTGGCAGGGTATGGGCGTTGCCTGCTGTTGGACAACAAACAAAAGTAGCTGAAGGCAAACATAGAGAGAGTGAGAGAGAGAGAGAGAGGGGGGACCAGCAGCAGAGAGTGTGTCTATGGATGGGGTCGTGTGAACTGACGCAAATGACGCTGATTGAGGCTGTCGATTGTGCACAGCTTTTGTCCCAACTGTCACAAATGCTAATTTCCATTTGCTGATGCCAACGCTGGCGATAAGCGAAGCCCAACCACCGCATGCCATGAAAGTAAATCCCTCATTCACAATTTTGTTTATGTTCTCTGTTGCCTTTGCAGCCTGGACGATCATCTGGTGGGCGCGCATCACTTTAAACGTGGAGAATTCGCCTGTGAGTTGTGCTCCCAACATTTCTGCCATCGTCCGTTGCTGATCAAACACGGAGCGATCGCCCATAATAACATAAGGAAATATTCCTGCGAGAATTGTTCCAAGGTAAGTGAAAATGATTTTTGATGAAATTTATAAGGGAGTCGGGAGGAAGAGAATTGAAGAAGAGGTGAGGGAAAACGAAGCAAGTTTAATCGATGTGGAATGTATGAGATCAAGTTGCTGAGTAGAGAGTTATAAAATCAAGGGGAAGAGGAATCGAGGAGAATAAACCTAAAACTTTAGGCCAGTTTAAGATTTGTGCTTATAATTCTCAACTAGTTAAATCATTGAAAAAATGACGTTGAATATAAATAGGAAAGGAGAAACTCTTCGAAATGATATCAGGTTTACTTTAAGTTACCCTAAGCTAGCCTATAATATAATAAGGAATAGGAGTATTTCAAATCAAAGAATTCGCATTGGCTCTTAGCTAAGCCTACCTCCTCCCCCCAGAGTATATCAGAGATTTCCAGCTCTGTCGCCAGCTCAGAGCTCTGGCTGTGACAATCGAAGCTCTGGCTTATCCAACAAGTACTCTGGGCGCATTGTGTGAGGTGTGAGGTAAGGCCCTTTTGGCCAACAGCGTTGATCAGGTCATTAATTATTATATCAGCTGTGCGCTGACGGCGGCGATGGCGCGGCGGTGGTATGTGGTACACGGCTAAAGACTTTTGATTTCAAGCAGATCAATAGCCCCGGGCCCGAACAACAAAAAAAACCTCTTTGCTGACTCTTGTCGCTGGCCGAAAGAAACCTTTACAGCTATCGCACGCGCTGTGGCAATACGAAATCAGGGCGTGTACTCATCCAAAACACTTAAGCGAACCATTTGAGCTGCTTGGGTAATGAGCCGACTTTGTTGTTGCTGTTGTTGTTGTTGTTGCCGTTGTTGTTGCCGTACATCTTCGCGCTGCATTTGAATGCCAATGTAAAATTAAAGGGCCCAAGAGAGGAGCTTTTTCAAGTCGAATCACTATCTATACAAACAGTTAGCCGGGCAGGGCGAGGGCAATCCGGGCCAGCGATCCATCTATGCATCGTTTCGATTCGATTCGATTCGATTCCGAGCGATTCGTTACAGGGTCCAGCACTTCGTCATTGTCATCGACAACGGCTTCGACATCTCTGGCAAAGATGTTTTAATGGCATGTTGATTACAATCTTGTGGTCGTCAGCCTTACCAGCAGCTACCAGCCCGGCTACCAAGGTACCAAGCTACCAGCTACCAGCTTGCCGCGCTCAGATCAAGCTTTTTCTTTGGATTTGGATTTTCCCTTTTTTCGTTTTTCGTTTTTCGTTTTTTCTTCTACTCATTGCATTTCCAACGGTATTTCAATCGTTGCATTACAGTTAGTTTACTTAGCGCTCTGTAATTGTTTCGGTGGCATGTAAGTAGCACGCATTGTGGTGGGGCAGACCCCGCCCCCTTGCCCCCTTCAGGCCTCCGGCTGGGGCTGGCCCAGCTGCGACATAAACGGGAGCCACTGAGGCTAAACAAATGATGATCGATCTTGCGGGGCACTCGTAACTGGTCAATGCCTACATAAAAGGCCAAATACTTTCGCTGCTCTCCGGGTTCAGCATTGACAGGGCAACCCAAAAAAAAAAGTCTCTCGGGGGTCTTTGCAGCTGTCAGCTTTGTTTGTTTTTCAAGCAGGCGGCTTAAAGCGTTACAAAAGGGATTTGCCACGGATCTAACATGTTTTCCATTTGCGCTCAGCTGCACTTCACTCTGAATAGTTACTACGTACTTGAGTCTTGACACTAAATTGAAGTAGCTAAAATGTTGGCCAAAGGGCTTTTAGTTAATCTACTCAGGTCTTGGTTAGTTTACATATATAATACGATACTTCAAGTATATCAGAGACAATTCTATATATAGCAAAGAAGGAAATAGGTAATTTCTGTCAAGGTATACGTATATATAGACCTTTAAGTAAAGTCTAACCATAATTAATTAATCTAGAACTAGGCCAACTCTTTCTACACATTTCCTTTACCCCTGGACCAAACGAGTCTCCTTCATTGTGCCCTGCTCAATATCTGCTGATCGTGCTTTCTCAGGAGGAAATAAATAAATTTATACACATGGGATCTGCCTGGTTATCTGTAAAAAGTTTCTCTACTCCTCTTGCTCTTAATTAGTATTTGAGTTATTTTTGCGAAATAGATTTCGTTGGCTTGGCCTGGTCTGGGGCAGGCTTGAACCAGTTTGCACTTCTGCCTGCACCAGATCTCCACATCATCATCTTTTAGTGCCCTACTCCAGATGCCTTTGGCTGACCCCACGTACGAGCCTAACGCCACACAAGCAACAACAACAACAACAACTGCCTGCCAGACAATCGCATTCCATAGACCAACCTTAGCGAGTGCTGCGCGAGAGCTCGTCTTGGGCTTTGCTGCCTTTGCATGCCACAACACCTACACTGAATCCATGAGGCTGGCTGAGGCTTCATTTGTAGCTCGTTGTTGTTGCTTTTATTGTTGTTGTTCTTGTTGTTGTTGTCTTTTGTGGCGTTTTTCGCCTTTTTGGAGAGGTAGTTGAATCTAATCCATTTGATGTAGTTATAGCACGAGCTATTCTTGTGTGTGTCGCCGTTTGTCTTCGGGCTTTCTGTCTCTTTCTCTCTCCCTCACTCTCTCTCTCTCTCTGGCTCTCTCACTCTGCGATAGACAAAAAAGGCTGACTCGATCATCGTTTGATATGAATTCGTAGCGCATTATGACAGCATGATTAGGCATAACAGTTTCGTAAAAGGCAGCGCGGGTGGAGGCTGACCGAAATCAAGTTTCAAGTGGGTACTGAGAAACTGGTACCTGGCTCTCGCACACTTTGCCAGACTTGGCTCTGGCTCGGGCTCTGGCTCTGCGCCTGGCCCAAGCGAACAACAAAAATGAATGGCCCGATCTGTCATTGCGTTAGCTGCCCCTACCCGCACCCTACACAAAGAAAAAAAAGTAGAAAAATATATATCGAAAGAGCTATGGATTAGACTAGGGTTGCACAGTAATTGAGTCGCAGTAATTGTAGGGACCTGCTCGAAATGGTGACTTTTGGTGGTTCTAGGAATTTTTGAAACCAGGTCCGAGAATAGTCGAAGTAGAAATCTTCAGATGAAGAGTTTACGCGCAGGAAATATCAGATATAGTTAAGGATATCAAAAAGTTATTATTTGTATATATTTTGATGAAAAAGTAATACAAATTTTTTAGTCATTATTTATTTTATTAATATAAATATTTTATTTTTTTTTTTTTAATTTTTATGAAATATATTTTTTATTTATTTACTATTTTAAGGTTAATTACGAATAGTGCTATTTCGCTTCTCTATATATCACACTTTCCTTAATTCAATTACAAATAGAGTTTCCCAGTGTTAATTTAATTTACGAACGAGTCACTGTTTTGGGGAAGCGGTCACAGTTTTTGTGTAGCTGCCTAGGCAAATGTGTTGTAGTCAGCCCGATGAGGGGCGGGGCAAGGGCGCCGAGCGGGTCACGGGGATGGCCAGGCTTACGACAATTGTAGCAATTGATGTTAATAATTGACGAAGGTGTTGCTGCCGTCGCTGCCGTCGCTGCTGCTGTTGGTAGTGGGTGGAGTTGTTGTTAGCTTTGCGTAATCTGAGAGCGTCGGTCGCTCGGTCGATCGGTTGGAGCATTGTTTAGGCGCTCGCATAGATCCGTTTAGGGGCCACAGCAGCAGATGATTGATTAATTTCAGTTTCATTTCATTTGGCACTCGAATCAGAGCAAACTCCGCCGCGCACAGGTAGCAGCAGCAGCGACAGCAGCAGCGACAACGATTCGCTCGCCATAACACACTCACACACACACACACAAAACACTCACAATACTCATTCGCTATTCAAATTCAAAACTCATTGTCTTACTTATTTTTTTTTTTTTTGTTCGTTTCTTTTCCGTCGCCCTGCCGTACAGGTATTCTGTGACCCATCGAATTTACAGCGTCATATTCGCGCCTATCACGTCGGCGCTCGCAGTCATCCGTGTCCGGAGTGCGGTAAAACATTCGCCACATCGTCCGGGCTAAAGCAGCACCAGCACATCCACTCCTCGGTCAAGCCGTTCGCCTGCGAGGTCTGCTTCAAGGCCTACACGCAGTTCTCCAACCTCTGCCGGCACAAGCGCATGCACGCCGACTGTCGCATGCAGATCAAGTGCCAGAAGTGCAAGACGAGCTTCAGCACGGTCACCTCGCTCTCCAAGCACAAGAAGTTCTGCGACAGCTCCGACAGCTTTCGCAGCGGGCCACAGAGTCGCCTGGAGCATCATCAGCACCAGCACCGGCAGCAGCAGCAGCAGCAGCACCACCACCACCAGCACCAGCACCACCAACACCACCAGCAGCCACCTGGTGCGCATCAGCGACTCGCTGCCGCCGCCGCCGCTGCCGCAGCCAGCAGCAACAGCAGCGACACAGCCGCCATGGCCACGCCTCCGAATCACATGTTCACGATGCATCCCACGCACTCGTTCTTTCCGGGCTTTCCGCCGTACGCGCTGCCCAACTTCTTTACGAACTGCCGGCCCCAGCCGCTGCTGCCGCACATGTTTCCCGGACCGCATCTGGGCGAGATGGGGCGCGGCCTGGTGCCGCCGCTGGTCTCGCCGAACGCTGCCTTCCAGCAGCAGCTGCAGGCGGCGATGAGCCTCAAGTCGGAGTCGCCGCGCCTCAAACGCGAGTCCAGCACGCCGGAGCGCAAGCATCCCATCAAGACCGAGCTGCAGCCCAGCGAGGATGAGGAGGAGGAGCAGGAGGAGTCCAATGCCTATGAGCGCCTGGACTCGAGCAAGGAGTCGAAGAAGCCAATGGCCGAGTCAAAGCCGGAAGCTAGCGGAAGTGAGCAGCCAGCACAAGGCGAGGATCGGGAGCAGGCCCAAGATAATGATAACGACAATGAGAATGACAATGACAATGACAATGAGAATGAGAATGATAATGACATTGACAATGATAGGGTAAGTTTTTAGATATTACCAGGCATCCAATGCAAGCTTGACTTATTCGATTCTTCTTCTCCTTGCAGAAATCTATTGACATAATGAGCACACCACCGCCCGCTGAAACGGAGGCGCCGGAGCCGGAGCAGGATAAGAGCGGTGTGGATCTGCTGCCACTGGATCTGTCCGTCAGCCGCAAGCGGCGCAGCTCACTGTGCACGGCCAGCACGCCCGTGCCGCTGGCCATGTCGCTGTCCAGTCGCACGTCCACGCCCGCGCTGGAGATCGCGGAGCCGCCCGTCAAGCTGATGAAGCACAGCTCGGGCGAATCGTCCACCTCGCACCAGTCCTTCAAGGGTAGCAGTCCCACGCCCAGTGTCAGCGCCTCGCCCGGACCCACGCCCTCGCCCTCGCCGCCCATCAGCACGGGCGGCGAGCTGAGCAGCATGTCCGAGAGTGCGGCGTCCGCCGCCGCCGTGGGCGCTGCCTCGGCGGCGGCTGCGGCGGCCTCGGTGATGGCCTGCCCGCGGCAGCTGCATCCCCAGCTGCTGCTCGAGGAGTTCTATCGCTCGCGCTTCAATACGCCACCGTTTCATTTTTTAGGCCAAATGGGCGGACGGCCAGGTTTTGAGCCACTCAAATCGCCGGCTGCTGGCATCAGCAGCGGCAGCAGCTCGCGTCATCTGCCGTTTCCGCCCGAGCACAATTTCCACGAGGCTCTGCGAGCCGCCGGCCTGGCCGCCGCCGCTGCCAATGCCTGCAGCAGCGGCGCCAGCGTCGTCGCCGCCAACGGCGGCAAGCTCAAGGACCGCTACACCTGCAAGTTCTGCGGCAAGGTCTTTCCGCGCTCCGCCAATCTCACCCGGCACCTGCGCACCCACACCGGCGAGCAGCCGTACACGTGCAAGTACTGCGATCGCGCCTTCAGCATCTCCTCGAATCTGCAGCGGCACGTGCGCAACATCCACAACAAGGAGCGGCCGTTCCGCTGTGAGATGTGCGATCGCTGCTTTGGCCAGCAAACGAATCTCGATCGGCATCTGAAGAAGCATGAGGCGGATGCGGCCGGCTTCGAGTACAACGACTCGCCCAGCTCGAATGAGGCTGGCGATCGGGAGGAGGCCTGCTTCGATGACATTCGTTCGTTCATGAAGCGCGTCTATACGCCCACCAGTCTGGGCGGGGCGGATGGGGACACCGAGGAGTATGCGGGCAGCGATGATCAGTTGTCCGTGTCGACGCGTCACTCCGTTAGCTTTGACAAGGAGCTGCTGGCCAATGGCAACAACAACAACACCAACAACAACAATAACAACAACAACAACAGCAGTAGCACCAACAGCAGCAGCAGCAGCAACAACAACAACAACAGCAGCAGCAGCAATCCGACTGGTCTGGGCGAAACGATCGCCGTGAGCACTTAAGAACCCAATGAAGAACTGTGGAAACTCTGAACAAAACTGTAAAACTCTACAATTACTTTAAAGAAAACTTTACTTAAGCGTGCCTCCGAGAGGGAAAACTAATCTTTAAGTAGTTCGCATTTTTCCTTCTAGACATTTAACCAAACACATTAAATGATTTACAAACAAACTAAAAAAAAAATAATAATTAATAAAAAAAACTAATTGTAGCTATGCAATCAATGGAAAAAGACGGTGAAGTAAGCAAAAAAAAAAAGTTTAAAAGAAAATCTGGTTTAAAATTCCAATACACTAAACTATATCTTAAACAAATGTTTCAATAGCTCTTATAAACAAAATACAAAATTGTAAACTTTTTCAACTTTAAACTTTATATAGATAAAAGAAACATACTTAAATGTAAACTAACTCTATATATACACATATATAAATCATATATACCATGTAATTGTTAAACCTAAGTTTTAGTTATGTGCTGTAAATATATTTAAGTGAGGAATATCGCACAGCAAAGGATATTTTGATTGAATGTGCTGCATAGAGCACATCATAAAGTATATATATATATATACCGATATATATATAAATATATAGGCTATGTATATGCAAACTGCATTACGACTAAGTTTAAATATGTTTAGTGCTAATTATTGCAATTCTCAAAACAAATTTTATAACATTTACTTAACGTTTACTATATATATATAGTATATATGTATATGAAAGAATTTGAAAGATCGTTATGGATATATTGAAAAATCAATAAATAAAACAATCACATCAAAAAATCAAGAGCTATATGTCTGATTCCTGTAGAGAAAAGTTTAAAGAATGCTGAATCTCATCTCAAACAGTTATAAATCTTGGAATATATTACATCAAATTATTTTCTACTTTCAGCTGGTTAAACTGTATTCAAAAGATTTCTCAATTTTTGGTTTATTTGTAACAAATAACTTAATTGAAGCAGTTTCTTCATAACTCAACTTTATATCTACCCAGAAGAGAAAGAGAGAGAGAGAGAGAGAGAGAGATAGATATTGAAAACCACATGGGCCAAGCACTTGGCAATCATAATAAAGCCATTAAAAAGCACATCTACTGTAAATGAGCGCATAAAAGAAGACTTTATACACCCATCAATCCTGGCAGCGCCCCAAACATCATTTGAACGCATTTGCCTATGAAGTTGCCTTATTATTAATCATTCGCGCAGCGCCAAAAACAAAACCAGAAAAAAAGAGAGAAGTTCAAGAAAAAAGAAATAACTCGGAAACTTATAGCTTTTTAATATACAGAGCTCTCTAGCAAGGCAAAACCGAAACCGAAGCCAGTCAGAGTCAGAGCTGAAGCTGGAGCTAAAAACCAAACCCAGCCATTCATTCATTCAGCCATCTATCTATCTTCGTATATCTATCTGGCTATCTATCCATCCAGCGATCCATCCATCTGCTCTGAATGCAAAGGCGTGATCGGCAAAGCGAGTTAATTACCCTTCCGGTTTAGAGTGTGTTACGCCTTCGGCGAAATGCGGTTAAAACTATGAGCTACCAATACTTTTCATTTGTTTTCTTCTTTTTCTGTTTTGTTTTTGGATACCCTATACCTATTCGAAATGATTGGGAATGGGTGGATTGGAGTTGAGATGAGGATGGAAGGAATTTTAGAGGGATTATTGATGTTTAGAAAATAAATAAGCTAGTGATAAGTTATCGAAATGAAAAATTGATGAATATGAGGGCTATTTACTTGCATCACCTCGTAGCTATGATATGTGACAGCATATTTCTGAATTAATTTATATAAACATCTGAAATCGTTTTAAAAATATTAGCTTCTTGGGTTATATACTTATCGATAACATTTACATTTGCTGCAGCCAAATATGGTTGAGTAAATAGCTAGAAACGTTGATTTTGGATATCATGGAGTACTACGTAGCGGTAAGTAAGCTTAACAATTGATTAATATTGAGAGCTACATCAACAGATTTCTATCGATAACTATTATCGATATCAATTAATCAATATTAAGAACTACATCAATAGATTGAATTGCAATGGTATCTAGCAAGTACAGATCTAAAATATTTCCTCTCTAGACTCATTTAGCAATTTTCCTTAAATATGGTAGAGTCTTGCTATGTGGAGACACTTGATGTAAAAGTTATTTTGAGGAAATCCTAGATTTACACAGATATAAATTATTATATTTCATTTATGTCTGTTCTCAGGGTATCTTTTAGTCCGGCAAACGTCTACAAGACCGCACGTATTTCTTTATATTTTGTCTTTTGTTTCTATGTCTTTTGAATGCTGTTGCTCTTGTTGTTTTTCGCTATATTGGTAGCTGCTTTGTTTTTTAACTGAATTTTAAGTTGTATTCGCCTGGCGCTGTATTGGCATCAATCATTTTTTTGGTTTTTTGGTTTTTTGTTTGATTTTGTGATTTTGCTTCAATTTTTTTGTTTTTATTTTTGCTATAGTTTCAACCTGTGCGCATGAGCGGCGCACCAGCACAGCAACTGAGCCACCCCAACACCCCACCAGCGTGGAGCGCAGAGACCGTTACCGCCGCTGCTGGGGCCGCACACAATGGGATCAGACGAATATCTGCGGTTCGGTCACTTTCGATTATGCGAAATACATTTGGCAGTTGGTAGCCAAAATAATAATCTTCGACTGTGGCCACAATTGGCCGGCACCGCCCGGCACCGCCCGGCTCTGCCGGCCGCCCCTCACGCGGCTGCTGTGGTGGCGCGTGGTTGGCCCTGACCACAGCCAACTTCCACAATTGTGGCACAATTTGAACGCAAAACTGGCCAAATTATGTTAAATTTGTGTAGAAAACAGTAGATAATTGGTAATTGCCTTCATTCCAATGAGCCAATTCCCCAGCTCCCCAAGCCCCCCACAGTCCCCCACAGCCCAGCCGCTTGCTTAGAATCTAGCGTTATGAGCGCATATTAGTCGCTGTTTGGCCTTTGGGCGTTAATTGAAGAAGGCATAATTTGAGGCTGAAAAATAGTTTGTATAGGTATACCTATATGTATATATACGTATATTTGTACTCTTATGTGTTGGCCAATTATTCGATTGCTTTTGACTTGGTCAATGGCATTTGGCCTGAACTCTTTTGCGAAACTAAGCCAAAACTATTCATGTGTGAGTCGAGACTAGACTAGGCCGCTTTTGTGAATGTCATAATTAAGTGGAGGAGCTCTGTCTGTTGTAATAGGAAATACATTTAAGGAAATTAAGTCAAGAAGTCTGAGCAGCATACGTCGCATGATTTGTTGTGGAGAATATAACGAGTTTGCTCAGATTAAGTATAGATTAAATGTGATATAAGAGATTAATAATAGTATATTTCATAGTAGATAATTCATTGCATTTATAGTAGATAATTTATACTACATTTGTTTATGAGATTAATTTATAAGATTTTAGATTTAAAGTAATGTTAAAATTTGCTTACAAATTAAGCACTGTCAACTATATTTTCTATAAGAAAATTATACTTGAATCTGACTTCCATATGTCTACAAAAAAAAAAAAAGACTGGCTCTAGTGCCATAAATATTTTATTATATGAAAATTAAATTAATATTTCATTAATACTAAATTTCAAGAACTAAATTTTGTAATGTTGTAATGATTGTAATGTTGGGAGCGCGCTTACCCCACGCTCGCTCTCTGTCTCACACACTCACATCAGGCTGTTCATAGTGTCATTGAAGTCCAGAGGCAATCGGTCATAATTTTCCTGTTATCTTCCAAAGAGGGAGAAGAAGCGAGCGACTGTTGGATTTATATGAGGAGGGTGGACTAATATCTCTCTCACTTTCTGTCTCTCTCACTTTCTGTCTCTCTCTCTCTCTCTCTCTCCCTCTCTCTCAATCACTCTCCTCTTGCTGTCCTCAAATTGACAGAATACTTATCTATTCAGTCCAGACCCGAGACTTGTTATTTGCTTCTTCTCCCAGAGAGAAAACGAGAAAGATTGAGAGGGAGAGGGAGAAAGAATGCAACCACAACCGATAGATCCGCTTGGACACAATCGAATTTCATGTGATTTGAACTGATGAGACAGCATCAGCATAGCTCAATTTCACGGCATGCAGGCAGGAAACATAATGCTTTTTTAATCAAAGAAGCAAAACCAAGGCAATTGCTGGAATCGCTTTTCCATTTTGCAGAGCAATAACAGTCCATATTCAGGTCACTTACACCTCTCGCTGATTACAGGGTAGCTGGCTGCAGGCTGCTGGCTGCTGGCTGCCGGTACATCCAAAAATGTGGAACAGCCTCCGAATGGAGCGCATTATGATAACGAGCGTGCTTAAAAATATGAATACACCGACTGGCTGCAGCCCTAGCCGGATGGCCCAGACATGGGGCCTGACTAACCAACTGTTGATTATGTGCCAGTTACACAAATGGCCCAGTTACACGCCCCAGCTGCTGCGGTCCAGGGCTGGGGGAGCTCAGAAATGCGCATCAGTGCGCACATTAGGACAGCACAGAGCATCGAGCATCGAGCATCGAGAACCGTTAAACGCTGCCAGACTTTGCTATCTATGGGTAGTATCTGTGGTTGACTTTCGAAAGGCACCCGCGAAACGGATGCAAATGTAGACACAAGCCAACGGCGCCCAGCACACAACTGGCCAAGAGACCCAAGTGGAGAGCGGAGTGTGGAGAGT